CAAAAAAAAAGGGAAAATTATCATAATTGGAATTTATTTTTTATATTTTTTTTGGAATTTTATATTTGGAATTTTGGATTGTAAATTATATTTTTTTTGACGCGTCTTTAAAAGTGGAAATAAATTAAATATATTTTAATTGAAGAATAATAAAGAGTTACCGCATTAAAGAATCTAATTTATTGGGATATAAAATATTTGGGTGTATAAACATAAAACAGATTTAGAAAATTAAATACCACCTCTCAAGTGCAAAAATTATTTAGCAAGGTAATCAGATAATTTCTGATCACACTCTAGACAAAATATTATTGTTTTTATATTTTATAATATTTATCTCTATCTCTTTCTTTTTAAATATATATTAAATTAATCACCTTCATTTACTAAGTTATGTTATCAATTAATTTCCATTTCAAGTTTTCCTTGGCGTAATATTTATCTATTATTTTCCAATTTCTAGTGGCGTAATATTTATCTATCATTTTCAAATTTCTAGTCAAATAATAATTATGGATATAAGAAATTTTAAACCTATTGATGATGATGAAAATTCTAGTTATCTTACAAAAAAGCAAAAAATTACAAATAATTTTATAACATTTAATTTAGCCTATGAAAGACATATATTTCTTAAAAAGGTATTAAAGATACCTATGATAAATATTTTATTTAATAATAGATTTACCCCTTAATTTTCAATATTCACAAACTTTATGTGCTAATAAAAAGTTAAAATTTCAAAACAGCTATTTTAATAGATGGCTAGCATACTCTATCTGAGACATTGGATTGCAAGATATGTGTCATGTTTGGCCCAAGATATGATGGAAGAAATTTATTTAAGCTTAACCATCTTGTTAAGACTCCATTCAACAAGTATAAAGTTGCTGGAGAAATCTTTAACAATCATCAAAAAACAAATTATCACAAAAGTTGTTGATGATTTCTTCAAATTAATTCAAAGTGGAGTTATGATTCTCATTTCATTACATATTGACAAAAATAGGATTAAAATAGAAAAAGTAAGATCAAACTAACGATTGCGGTCATTCTATATTGTGGATTGTATGGCCTAGAATTACGTAGCCATTTGGATTTAGGAAGCTTGAATTTCAATAATAATGATAATGAAGAATTTTCGTGGTCTTGTAATTTAAAGAATTAGGGGATTTTGCATTAATGGAATACCCCAAGCTACAAAATATTTTAAACAGAATTATTTCTGAAACTCCTTGTCCAACAAGGAGAAAGAAATTGTAAAAAGCTTGTCCAACGAGATGGAGTCTTCACCATCAAGCAGTAATAACTTTTATGGAGTTAAGAGACGATTATTAATGTTTATACTGAAATATTACAATGGCCTGAAATAGATATTTCTTCAGAAGCTAGCAAATTATTTGATTTATACTAAATTTTTTCTCTCATTAGAATGCATTAATAAATTATTTAATTATACAACTACTTTATGTAATACTTTTCAAAAACGACATTGACTTGATTGAGACGATGAGAATAGAGGAGAGCATTTTATTAGAACTCGAGGAAATTAAGGCTAATGTTGATGAAGAATTTCATATTTTATATGTTACTATTGAGTCAAAAGCAGAGCTATACCAGTTTAATATTTGTCTCCTTCGACTTGAAGCAAGGCAAACTCATCGTCCAAACATTAATATAGGGTTAGTAGAAGAGTATTATAAAATAAATGTCTTTATTAGATACATTTATAACCCAAATAAATGAACGGTTTTGAATTCATCAGGCAGCACTTACCAATCTGCAGATATTACTTCCACCAAAGCCTTCCCAACCTTTTTCAGATGGTGATAGAAAAAAAATAAAATATTTAGCAGATTTTTATCATAAAAAAGTATCTTGTGATGGGGTGTAACTAAACTGAATGGGTGTAACTAAACTGAGAATTAACAGGTAAACTGAGAATTAACAGGTAAAATTTATTTATGGCCTATCAATTATATTTTAAAAACTTTAAAAAAAAAGGTTTTTATTATAAAAATTAAATTTATCCAAAATTAAAATTATTTAAATATATAAATTAGAATAGAAAAGATATTGTAGTTTATAAATTTATAATATGTATAACAGATCTATTATATAGAAAATAAAACACCCATAATATTTTATATATCATAAAATAAATTCCGCTAGATGGCGTAAATTATTATAATTTTAGTTTTTAATTAAAAATAATATCAATTATAGGAGCATAATTTTTCGCTCTGGATTAATTGATTTGGTACCAACTTATATAAACATAAAATGAAAAAATTTTTAAGTTTCCATCATTATTTTTGGAGTTATGATGTGGATTCTCAGTTTAGTCAATTTTTTAATTTTTTTTTAGATTTTTGGGATTTCTAAAATATTTTATTTTTTTGACTCATTTGGTGTAAACTAACTTATATTAATATAAAATGAAAAAATTTTTAAGTTTCCATCATTATTTTTGGAGTTATGATGTGGATTCTCAGTTTAGTCAATTTTTTAATTTTTTTTTAGATTTTTGGGATTTTAAAAATGTTTTATTTTTTTTGACTCATTTGGTGTAAACTAACTTATATTAACATAAAATGAAAAATATTTTAAGTTTCCATCATTATTTTTGGAGTTATGATGTGGATTCTCAGTTTAGTCAATTTTTTAATTTTTTTTTAGATTTTTGGGATTTTAAAAATATTTTATTTTTTTTGACTCATTTGGTGTAAACTAACTTATATTATAACATAAAATGAAAATTTTTTTAAGTTTCCATGATTATTTTTGGAGTTATGATGTGGATTCTCAGTTTAGTCAATTTTTTAATTTTTTTTTAGATTTTTGGGATTTTAAAAATATTTTATTTTTTTTGACTCATTTAATGTAAACTAACTTATATTAACATAAAATGAAAAAATTTTTAAGTTTCCATGATTATTTTTGGAGTTATGATGTGGATTCTCAGTTTAGTCAATTTTTTAATTTTTTTTTAGATTTTTGGGATTTTAAAAATGTTTTATTTTTTTTGACTCAAAAAAATAAAATATTTTTAAAATCCCAAAAATCTAAAAAAAAATTAAAAAATTGACTAAACTGAGAATCCACATCATAACTCCATAAATAATGATGGAAACTTAAAAAATTTTTCATTTTATGTTAATATAAGTTAGTTTACACCAAATGAGTCAAAAAAATAAAATATTTTTAAAATCCCAAAAATCTAAAAAAAAATTAAAAAATTGACTAAACTGAGAATCCACATCATAACTCCAAAAATAATGATGGAAACTTAAATAATTCTTCGCTCTGGATTAATTGATTTGGTACCAACTTATATAAACATAAAATGGAAAAATTTTTAAGATCCCATCATTATTTTTGGAGTTATGATGTGGATTCTCAGTTTAGTCAATTTTTTAATTTTTTTTAGATTTTTGGGATTTTAAAAATATTTTATTTTTTTTGACTCATTTGGTGTAAACTAACTTATATTAACATAAAATGAAAAAATTTTTAAGTTTCTATCATTATTTTTGGGGTTATGATGTGGATTCTCAGTTTAGTCAATTTTTTAATTTTTTTTAGATTTTTGGGATATTAAAAATATTTTATTTTTTTGACTCATTTGGTGTAAACTAACTTATATTAACATAAAATGAAAAAATTTTTAAGTTTCCATCATTAATTTTGTAGTTATGATGTGGATTCTCAGTTTAGTCAATTTTTTTTTTAGATTTTTGGGATTTAAAAAATATATTATTTTTTTGACTCATTTGGTGTAAACTAACTTATATTAACATAAAATGAAAAAATTTTTAAGTTTCCATCATTATTTTTGGAGTTATGATGTGGATTCTCAGTTTAGTCAATTTTTTAATTTTTTTTTAGATTTTTGGGATTTTAAAAATATTTTATTTTTTCGACTCATTTGGTGTAAACTAACTTATATTAACATAAAATGAAAAAATTTTTAAGTTTCCATCATTATTTTTGGAGTTTTGATGTGGATTCTCAGTTTAGTCAATTTTTTAATTTTTTTTTAGATTTTTGGGATTTTAAAAATATTTTATTTTTTTGACTCATTTGGTGTAAACTAATGCTCCTATAATTCATATTATTTTTAATTAAAAACAAAATTTTTAATAAATTACGCCATCTAGCGGAAATTTTTTAATGATATACAAAGTATATTATTGGTGTTATATTTTCTATATAAAAGATCTGTTCTATTCATATTATAAATTTATGGACTACAATATCTTCTATATTCTAATTTATATATTTAAATAATTTTAATTTTGGATAGATTTGCTTTTACTTTAAAAACATTTTATTTATATATTTAAAAATAATTGATAGGCAATAAAACAAAAATAAATTTTACCTGTCAATTCTCAGTTTACCTGTCAATTACCTGTTAATTCTCAGTTTAGTTACACCGTTGTGATGCCTTATTAGCTGAATGCCAACTATGGTATAAAAGATTAACTATGATTGATATAGTCCCAAAAATTGGATACTTTGCATCATTTCAAACATCTTTTAGATTATTTTCCCAATGTATTAAAATTATTATATATATTAGCAACTCTTCCCATTAGTACTGCAACTAATGAGAGAACATTCTTTAGATGTATGCTTGGAAACAGAAGGACACAGAAGATGCAGGTTCAATCCTGGTAAGGAGCATAAAAATTTTCAAGTTTTTCTTCGATGACTGATATGTAAAGACACATGATAAGATCAATTTAGGAGCTTAGAGATTACACCCCGATCATCGACAGGCCTGGACAGCCGGGTGCTAGTGATACTTGTCCAATAAACAAAATGAAAGAAACAAATGAAAATATGAAATGAAAGTTAGGGCGTTCCCTCCAAGCGACGCGCAGGGTGTAGACCTCCATCCTGTGAAAAGTAAAATAAAGGTCAAAGCAAAGAAGACAAGATTAGCAAGTTTGAATATTGGTACACTTAAAGGTAAAACGAGAGAATGGGCATTAATGTTGAACAAGAGAAAAGTTGACATATGCATACAAGAGACGAAATGGAAAAGTCAGAAGACTTTAATGATTGGAGATAGGTGTAAATTGTACTATAATGGAATTCTTAGTAATAGGAACGGTGTCGGTATTATCCTCAGTCAAGATCCAACCTCCTCAGTAGTAGAAGTCAACAAGATCTCTGATATACTAATGAAGATAAAACTCTGCTTTGGTCAATCAATATTACACATCCTTTCAGTATATGCCCCTCAAACGGGTTGCAAGGAAGAAGAGAAAGATGACTTTAGAGCTATCCTTGATGAAGCTGTAATGGAAATCCATAAGGATAACCTAATCATAATAGGTGGTGACTTAAATGCACATGTGGGAAAAACAAGAGATAGCTATACAAAAGGTATCATGGTGGTTTTGGATATGGAGAAAGAAATGACGAAGGAGAGCATATACTGAAATTTGCGCAAGCCTTTGACCTTGCCTTAACCAACACCTACTATAGAAAAAGACAGTTTAATAACACATGAGTCATTCCAGGAGAAGATATAGCCGCGCAACACAAACTACTAGTCATGGATTTACACATCACAAATAAATCCACTCAAAACAAGATAAAACTGGAACCATGCATCAAATGGGGTAAATTAAAAACAATGACAGATGCCTTTGCAATCAATGCAAACATTGAAACAATAGATTCCTCACAAGTCAGTGAAAAAATGTGGACAGACCTTTCACCCAGATTAATAGACACTGCCAAATCAACACTAGGCTTGACAAGGGGAGGTAACAAATCATACAAAAAAACTATGGTGGTGGAATGAAGAGGTAAAAACTATACAGGAGAAAAAAGCCTTTTATAAAATATGGTACAAATCCAAAAACCCAGATGACAAAACAAGATGCAAAAAGGGTTCATCAAGGGTCGGCTCTCAACCCTCTTCTCTTCATAACAGTAATAGATGTATTAGAACAGTCTATACCACAAACAGTCCCGTGGAATATGATATTTGCAGATGATATTGTGATACTTGCCGAATCCAAGGATGAAATGAAAGAAAGTTTAGTGAGTTGGATAAAACCGACTAAAATTAAATAGAGAAAAGACGAAGTATATGGTGATAGGAGGAAATGAAACAGAGAGTATTGATATAAATGAATGGCAGATATCGGCAATTGAAAACTGCAAATATTTGGGCTCCACTATACAAATAAACGGCACAATATAAAAAGAGATAAAGAGTAAAATTAATCAAGGGTGGTTAAAGTGGAGATCTTTATCTGGAGTTCTATTTGACAAAAGAATCCCACAAAAATGAAAGGAAAAAATTTACAGTTCCATAGTACAACCAACTATTCTATATAGTTCGGAAACATGGCCAACCAAGGAATCAGACGAGAGAAGTCTACAAACTATGGAGATGAGAATGCTGAGGATGATTGCTGGGGTAACAAGAAAGAATAAAGTGCGCAGTACAAGAATACTAAGTAGTTTAAAGGTAGTGCCCATTAAGACTAAGTTAATGGTAAACAGACTTAGGTGGTATGGGCACAGAATGAGAAGGCCTATGAACTACATAGGAAATAAGATTGAGAGTTTGGAAGTGATGGGCAAACGTAAAAGAGGAAGGCCAAAACCTTCAATGGGGCAATAAAGTTAGAGCCAATATAAAGAAGTATAAATTAGATAAAAGAGATGTATGAATAATATAAAGTGGAGAGAGATGTTGAAGGAGCTTACCACCAGAAAGTGAAAGCTAAAGAGAAAACCTACGAAGTAGAACTTCTGAAAGTAGATCAAATGGTTTGGCCCTTTTGTATATTCGTATGCATTTGACGCCAAGCACATAAGAAAATAGAAAAATTAGCTCACCCAACGAAGATTAGATTTTACATTATAAATATATAATAGGCTTCTTAATAATATTATTTGTGCACATTTATTTTTTAATATGTTATATATTTTTTCATAAATACTTTATAAGGTATTACATACAAAATACAATTATTCCTAAGAAACTTGTGTATTAATTTAAATTTCCGACATTTAAATTTTTTATAATTTATATATAAATTTTAAAGGCACAAAAAATTTAAATTTCTATTTTGGGTCATTTATTTTATAATGAATATGCTGGTTATGTCCACTTATTTTTTTGTATGCCGCCGGTTATATCTGTTTAATATTTTTTAATTCATATTTATTTTATAGAGTTTTTTATATGCCGGTTTATATATTTAATTTTTTATAATTCACATTAATTTAAAATGGTATATTAGAAATAGTTATTAGTTCTAATATATTTATGCTTGATATTTTTAAATAACAATAATTTTATCTTAAATAAATTTAATTATCCCCCCCCCCCACAGCAAATTTTTGCTTATGAGCCTGGTGATTATATAAGATTTAATTATTAAAAATAAAAATATATAATGCATATTTTTACATTTTTCATATTCTTATATCAGTACTTTACCTGTTTGAATTTGATATGTTAATTTTACGGACATACATTAGATTTAGTCAAAACCCGAAAATTTCGAAGCGGTTGGACAGAAAACTTATACGATTATTAGAAATTATAATACTAAATTTTAATTATTTATTATATATAAACCAATTTTGTGTTGTTATTAATAATAGTATACTCTATGCATAAGAGATATTAAATAATTTTTAAATCTATCATATGACATTTTCACACAGATTAGGCACAAATTTCAAGATAAACATCTTTAATCATTTAAAAAATATCTGCTTTTACCCAATCTCGTATAAAAAACCATATCATTTTTTATTACAAGCTCATATAAAAAATAAAAGATCAAAATATTTTATACGAGCTTGTATAAAACTTTCATTTTTTATTGTTTTAAATAAAATAAATTTTTTTCAATCAGAAATGATAAAATTATCCAATATATATAATCTCCATAATCTATTGCTGTAAACATTTCTCTAAAAATCGAACGCGTTCGCGTTCAAAGTTCATTGACAAAAATCGAACGCGTTCACGTTCAAGTTCATGTTCAAAAAAAAGGAACGCGTTCATAAAACCGTTCAAAATTTTATGATAAAATTTTTTTAAATTTAATTTATAAAAAATTATATTTAATACAATATATTTTAGCCATGTTAAAAAATAATATAGTTTTATTTTGATAATATAATATAATATAGCGAATAAAAAGATATTTTTATTTATAAAAAATTTTTCTTATTAAATTTTAATAACAATTGTTTTCAAAATATTTATCTAATAGACAGGAACACTTAACAGTTAATACGGCATTAGCTAAACTAAAAACGCGCTCTACAGAGGCAGATGAGGGGATTGCAGTAATATACTTAATAAACAGCTCTTTTAAGGTAGAGAATTAATTAAAAACATATTGTTTTGTTATTTGCAAAAAATTGAGATAAGTTATCCTCCTCCAATCTATTCTCTACTCTCGACAAAAAAGAGGATATCTCGAAATTAACAGTTCTCTAGGGTTTTCATGGCATTTTTTTCAGTAACGCTAAAGTTTATTTTTAATAGGTTCGCTCTGTGGAAGTTTTATCCATGACCATTGAAGTTTGAATGCTGGATGTATAATTGCAGAAAGAACATATTGATTCTTATATATATGTTCAAATCTTTAAAAAAATAAAAATATGTAATTAATTGAGAGTGATAGGTTTAATACCTTTTAATAATCCCATTTAACACGGCGTCTATCAATGGTTGACCATATTTGAGGCCACTAATTTTTTTAATTTTAAAATAACACTCGTTATTGTTGGGGTCAAATATCCCAAATGCATTATTTCTTCAAATTTAATGATTTAACTTAGTTATATCATATAAAATCAAATAATTAATATTAAAATCAAATGTCGTTTTAAATTGGAACCTGAAGATTTTGACAATATAATACTTTTTGGCCATATTTTACACTTGGTAAGCATTGGATTAGTTCCTTCAATATAGGATGTTAATGTAAAACATTTATCATATTTGGCCATAGTAATGATAATTCAGCTGATTTTGGATTTTCAGAATCAGATGATGAGGATTAAATAATAATATCCATGCTTATGCTTATCTATTAAATTAAAATATAAACAATAATATTCAAATTAATAAACTATGTGTTAAAAAAATTGAAATGTGAAAAGAATACACAGCTGATTATCGGAAATATTAAATTTTTCAAATAAATAAAAATAAAAATATTTTTAAAATTGAACAAACGTTTAATTCGAACGCGTTCGTCATAAAAAAGGAACGCGTTCACGTTCAAAGTTCGTCAAAAATAAAACGAACGCCATTCATCTTTTTTTTCAAAAAAACGAACTTCGTTCACGAACGCGTTCGTTTACAACACTACCATAATAAAAACATTTTCGTATCTTCCTTATGTATTTAAAATTTAAGGAGACTATATAGTGTAATGTTATTTTTTTGCTCTCTACGAGAGTCGAACCGTATGTTTTAAGCATGCACCAACTTGAATATAATTAAATCTAAAATATTAATTATTATTTTTAAAATTCTACTGTTTATTACCATACTAGCTGACGGGGTTGAAGGGTAATTATTTAGTTTGTGTGTATGGTACTAAATATACTTTATTAATAAATTTTATAAAAATATTAAAATTTAGGAGAAAAAAAGGTAAAATTGTTGCAATGTAGTGAGCATGTATTAGAAATATCAAAATTTAAATTTGTGATGGAAATCATATTGGATAAAATTTAAAATAGAGATACTTTAAGATTTTTGAATTTTAAATATGGGTTATACATTGGCCTGGAAATTTTTTTTGCAGGCCAAGTCCATGTAACTTTCTTAAAATTTTGCCATTTATTTTTAATGTAATTTAATAAAAATGTCTTAAATTTAATTTTATATTTAGAATAAAATTTAGATTTGTGATAGAAATCATATTGGGTAAAATATAAAATAGAAATGCTTGAAAATTTTTTAATTTTAAATATGGGCTAGACATGGCCTGAAGATTTTTTTTTGCAGAAATCGCCAGGCCTGATTAAAAAACCAAGCTCATGCAACTTTCATATTCTGATTTTATTTAAATGAATTATGACTTTTATATATTTTATTTCAGTTCTCAACTAACAAAATTATTATCGGGCTTGAGAAAATTTTCCCAACAATATGGTTTTCAGAGATTTACCTATCTCCGAGGTTGGGAAAAAATTTCAAAATTATGATGGGTTGAACAGGTTTGAGAAAAAAAATTTTCGGGCCAATGTCTGGTCCATATTTAAAATTAAAAAATTTTCAAGCATATCTATTTTAAATTTTACCCAATATGAATTTTATCACAAATTTAAATTTTATTCTAAATATAAAATTAAATTTAAGATATTGTTATTAAATTACAATAGAAATAAATGGAATATAAAATTAAATTTAAGACATTGTTATTAAATTACAATAGAAATA